ATGCTGGTGTATGGCGCTGAGGCATGGACAATGAAAACATCTGATGAAGCACGGCTTGGAGTTTTCGAGGAAAAGATTTACGGGCATTTACGCACTGGCGAATACCGCAGACGATTTAACGATGAGCTGTATGAGCTTTGCAACGATATAGACATAGTACAGCGAATTAAAATCCAGCGGCTACGCTGGCTATGTGGAAACGCTCCAGCTCTGAAAGTATTAATCGCGGGTCGCGATGCTGGTAACAGAGGAAGAGGAAGGCTTCCTCTGCGTTGGAAAAACCAGGTTGAGAAGTACTTGGCTCCACTTGCCATTTTCAATTGGCACATAAGAGAAATGACTGGCGAGCTGTTTTGGACTCGGCCAAAATCGCCAAAGCTTTACAACGTTATAGACATAGTACAGCGAATTAAAATCCAGCGGCTACGCTGGCTATGTAGAAACGCTCCAGCTCTGAAAGTATTCATCGCGGGTCGCGATGCTTGTAACAGAGGAAGAGGAAGGCTTCCTCTGCGTTGGAAAAACCAGGTTGAGAAGGACTTGGCTCCACTTGGCATTTTAAATTGGCACATAAGAGAAATGACTGGCGAGCTGTTTTGGACTCGGCCAAAATCGCTAAGGCGGTTACAGCGCCAATAAAGGGGAAGAAGATGTTTGTTTTTTGTAATTCTCGTTTGTGTTATTTTTGTGTGTGTTGTTGAGACATGGAATCCATTATGTGGGATCCAACGCGCTCTTAGCTTTAAATGTTCATGCAATTTAATATGTATGGTAGGAGCTCTAATGCCTAGGACCGCCTCAATCTCCCTATGTGTCACATGACGATATTCCATTGTTTTCTGGCGTACAAACCGATGTAGAACGACCTTCTCGATGCTCATCGGCGAGCGAAGTACGACCAGGCTTTTATGGATTATACCTATTATACACACTGGCCCAAGATGGCGTTTCATCACAAAAAATGGAAAGAAGTTCGTCGATGCACTATTGTTGTGTTGATCGACGTCCAGAGTTGTAAACAATCATTCAATTTGAAATATTCATTTTTTTGTCTACTTAAAAAGTAACTGTAAACAACACAAAGAGCGCTCATACTGTAAAACGTATTGAGTACGTGAATGGTAAAAAATTTAAAATTTTACAATGCAAATGTCTGATCGCCTCAAATTACATTGATGTAGACTAGTTTAGTGACCTTCGTATTATTATTAAACACACATAAGTGTAATTATTACAAAATTATACATAGTAACATCCTAGTATACTTACGGGATGATATTGCTTTAAGAACGCATGCATACGCTCGATTTCCTCCGACGTCAAGCTCTTAATTATGAAAAATTTATCATAGCTTTGGTAGAATTGTGCACCCGATTTTCCTGATGATTCAATGCGTACTGGCTGCGAACGAGTTAAGGATTCGCGATAGTCGACATCATCAACACTAAATCTTTCACGCAAATTTCGAAATACTAAAGGACAGTATTCTTTTACTTTAAAGTGTGACGGCATATTTTCCCTAAAATCAATGAATAAGTTAGATATTTTAAGTGAATAATTTAGAAATGAACGTAAAATTAATAACACGTTTAAGAAAACCTATTCAAATACAGTATGCATAACGGGTTATTCATTTTGTGCTTGGGAAAATAAAACCCCGTCATCTTACTTTAATCAAATATCATTCAAACTGGTAGTTGTTTAGTTAAAGGTTTTCTTTGCGACCCAACGCATTAAAATTACTCCCTTAAAAGAGCACTCCGATATTTTATAGTCTTATTAATAAAATTGTAGTTTAAAAAACTAAAACCTCCCTATTATAATTGCCATTCGTACTGTCATCAGGTATGTAACTTGAGAATAGAAATCGCTGCATCTTTTAGGCGCATCAATATTACATACTTACATCCCGAGCTAATAAAAGGAAGGTAAAAAAAATAACATAAATGACAAATTAAATATTATTTTTCTTGGGCCAAGATTGAAAATTCAATGCTGTTGGATTATGCGTCGAAACGCGTAGGAGAAGAATAAACACTTTTTTATTTAATATAACCAGCCAAAAAGCTCCAAATCCAATAGCATCAAGTTAAAATTTTTATTTGAAACCACGCCATGCCATGAAAAACAGCTTCCCATAAAAATACAATCGCCGTTCGGAGTCGGCGTAAAACTGTAGGTCCCTCCGCTTTGTGTGCCAACATCAAGGCGCACGCCACAAATCGGAGGAGAAGCTCGGCCAAACACTAACATATGTGTAAGCGCCGATCTTTTACTATTATTTGAAACCAAAAATTACTTAAGTTTTATGGAGTTTACAATGGAGCCACAATTTGGCTTAACGCAGATGCCCCCAAGTACGTTTCCAGAGTCCATTAAAAATAGTGCCTACTGAGCGTTTCTGTAATAACTTTACTTTATTATACGAGCCACAAACATATAATTAAAGTATAGTTTCTACGTGTGAAAAAATCTTCAAATGGGCTACCGTACCTAGCCTTGCAAACTCGTCAGCTTTGCAATTTCCCCCAACACAGTGTATCCAGTTACCAATATTGAGTTCTATAATGCTGGACCACTTCGTTCAAATATCTGGCAATTCAATAAAGAACTTTGCGTTGTTCGTGAGAATAAAGCTTTCAGGCTTCTCAATCGGAGGACGCGTTTCTTTTCTGAAGGTCTTCGCACGATGCTCCGTGCTACCTGATGGACGGTCAACACTTCCGTTGTTGTTGTTGTTGTAGCGGCTACAACAACCCCGCCCAGATTGGTTAGTATCTCAGTCGTTGTGGTCAAGCTCAACTAACGGAAGACCCAAGAAGCGTGCAGCCTCTATAGGGCCTGACCATAGGGACAGAGGCGTTAGCCGTGTGGGGTTATCCGGGCATATGAAGAGAAGTTTCGAGTCGTGGGGTGTCGAATGCCGGACACTAATTTGGCACATCTGCATCTAATCTGCTGAGGTATGAGTTTAACCTGCTGCAGTAGCCCGAGCGAAATTGTGCTATTGTGGTTCTAGTCTCCCGAGGCAGGTGGTTGTGTGCCTAGAACGGCATTCACAGGTCTGGAGTGTAAACTGGAGACCGACTCCCTGTTAATGCCGCTAAGGGCCTGTCGGTAAGCTGACGGGTCCAAAGGTTGGTTTATGAACCTCTGGACTTCGTCCGTCAGTTCATATAGATACCTTCTGACGAGCCTTGGCGAGGGCTGCTCTGAAAGCAAGTGTCTGTTCGGGTGTCCACATCTGTGGCTCCCTACTAGGAATTGCTTGCACAGCATTGTGTTGCGCTCCTTTATGGGGAGCATTTTCACCTCCTCATGCAGCTGGCGACATCAGAAGACATCCAGTCGCTGTCCGAAGTGTAGTGTTTTGTGTCGTCTGCAGCTTCATCCACTGCGTCCTACTAGTCCCCGGCGACCACACTGATGCTGCGTAATTTAAAATCGGCCGGCCAATTGCCTTGTATGTTGCCAGCAACGTTTCACTGTCTTTGCCCCAGGTACTGCCGGCTGGCGTCTTGAGGACCTTGTTGCGGCTCTGTACTTTGTTGACAATTGCGGTTGCGTGCGCAGAGAAGGAGAGCAGACTGTCGAAGGTTACTCCGAGTATTTTGGGGTTATTCACCGTCGAATTGGTGTCATCGACGTGAATTCCCAGTAGTAGTCTGACCTCCTTCGTCCAGGTAGTAAACAAGGTCGCAGAGGATTGTCTAGAGGATAGGGTTAGGCTCCTAGCAGTGAAGAAGCGAGAAAACTCGGAGAGATACCCGTTTAGTTGCGAGCACAAGTCATCAATTCCATTCCCAGACGCCATTATCGAACAATCGTCAGCGTAAGACAATCGAGACTTCCTCTGGGGGTTGGAAATATAATAGTTAAACAGTAATGGGGAAAGCACACCACCCAGTGGAACCCCCAGTTTTATTTTTCTTGGTTTACTCGATTTGTCTCTAAACATTACCACTCTCCCCATCTTTTTTAAATAGTCTGCTCCCGCAGGACCCAAAGTTATCAGCATCAACATACATATTCCGTCGGGACCCATGGCTTTGGAGGCTTTCGCCTTCCCGATGGCTACCTGAACTTCACCTCAAGTGAAAACAAGGGGGGCCCAAGTTGTTGGCAGTTTGGGCAGCCTTCTGGTCACTCGACGCTTGGCTGTGTCCGCCGGAGGATGCAGTATAAATTGCCGGCTCAAATAGCTCGCGCATCGCTCCGGGTCCGACCCTGTCGTCGCGCTTCGTCGGATTGGACAGTGTCCTCACGGTTGACCAAAGCTTACTCATACCAGAGGCGAAGTTACAGGTGTTCAGCTGCTCTTCCAACTCTCTCCGCTTATGTACGTTCACAAGCTGCCGAATCCCCGCGCTGATACGGGGATTTCCGGCATCGACCTGACGAAGGTTGTCACACTCATCGGCGAGACAGCCGCTTCATCAGGGAATTTTGAACCGTGGTCCGTTATGTATTCTGCTGGTACGAAGCGAGCTGCAGCAGCAGTGACAACCCTGCGGAACTCACTTTCACCTAGGTGGACGTCGGTTCGTGTGGGGAGCGCAGCGAAGGTGCTTTCAGTAAATTCTGCGAAGCCTTTCCAATCAGCTTTAGTAAAGTTGATATTGGTCCGGTGTTCCGCGGAAGCAAAGTCGTCTGGTTTATCGATCGAGGTGATTATGGGCAGATGGTCTGATGCTAAGGTCAGCATAGGTCGCCATGATACGCCGTTTATCAGACCGCCGCTGACTATTGTTATGTCTGGCGAGCTGTTGCATCTGCCCCTAATCCTGGTGGGTGCGTCGTCGTTCATTGTGCAGAATATCGAATCCTCTATCTGCTCAGCCAAGTCTGTTCCCCTACGATCGTTTGACAGGCTTGAATGCCAAAGATCGTGGTGCGCATTAAAGTCACTAACTTCAAAACGGGTTTCACCTCTGAGGAGCGCACCTATTTCAGGGTGATATCCTGCCGGGTAGCTAGTGACAGGATAGCGATGCCCTGGCATTCGAGGGTGGTATCCCTTCGGTCGATGTCTGCTTCGATAAGACTGTATTAAAAGGCTCCGTACGCTCTTGTTGAGAGTCGCCTTTATTCTGCCATTGCTTCTTACATTGAGTTTATTCTTACTGCTAGCATGCTTACAGTCTACCGCTGTAGATAAAAGCTTAACTTCCCTAATTAGTAGTAACGAAGATGACTCTATTACAATTATACACTACACCTTCGCCATACGGAAGAATGATCTATATAGATGGATTATTCTTAGATGATGCTAGAGCTCAGCGAGTATATACATACGTACATTTGTAAAAGTGTATCTAGGCTTTTTACCGTGTAAGGGCCTACGTATACGTTATCCAACTTATGCCCTTAGTTATTTCTTATTAATACTTTACTACCGACTGATAATTGTATTTCATTCGTATACTCATCGTATTTGCTCTTTTGTATACCCTTAAACTTTTCAATTAGTTTCCTCGCTCTTATCTGAGCTAGTTGAAGCCGGAATTTGACTTCTTTTGCGTATGCTTCTATGTTATATTCGATGTGTTCGATGCTATTTGTTGTTAGAAATTCCGGTATATTTGAAATTTTTCCAAAAACTAATCCAAAAGGACAATAGCTATGAGTAGTTGACGGTGTTGTGTTGTAGCAAGCCAATTGTCCCAGTCATGTAGTAGTTCAGCCAAGTGTGCCAGTCATGCCTACCTGCAATATATGATCTAATATATTCGTTAAACATTCTATGGCTTCTTTTAACTGTAACTACAGTTTGATGATGATAAGCCGCAGCTTTTAGTTATATTTAAATTTTGCATAGCTCTTCTAACACCTGATTTTTATATTTAGTACCCATGTCTGACAAAATTTTATTTGGTACCCCAAATATAAGAACACATCTTTCCAGTATATTTTTAGCTACTATTTTTGCGGTTTTGTCAGGCATTGACACTGAAATTAAGTATTTTGTATTCGTATTCGTTGCCAGATTCTGTTCTTGGTAGAGGTCCGATGGTGTCAACTATAATTGTATTGAATGAACTTACGGGAGTTTCGGTTTTAATTAATGGTTGTTTGGTATTAATCAATGTCTTATTTTTCTGATAATCGGTACACTGTTTTACGTATTTTGTTATATCTTTTGTCATGCCTTTCCAAAAATGGTAACGTCTGATTTTTTGTAGTAACCTAGTAACCCAGGGTGGCCACCAAAAGCAGGGTCATCATGGTATCTTTTTATAATGTTCATCTTTTCCTTTTTATTTGTAATTGTCGATATTTTTGGTGATAGCGCTATCGTTAAAGTTTTTAATAATTTTTCCCTTATTTCTTTAAAAATTTTAATCCGGATTTTATCAAATATGTCTTCGTTAAGAGAAATTCTAATTTTCCTAATTTTCAAGCTACTGGCTTCTTTCTCCAGCCTTGGAAAAAATAAATCTAAATTTATATCTCCATTAGTAGCATATTCGTTTGCAGCGATGCTGCCTAAAATTGTCTTTCTATGTCTAATTACACATTTATTAGCATAAAACTTTAAGCAAACCATTTTCCTAACTTTTTGAATAGTGATTGCCTCATAAACTTTAGGAAAATATACTGCAATGTTTGTGTTTGTGTGATCTGGTTTTATTGCATTATTTTGTATTTGTTTCATTTGTGATCGGGTTGTGACTTTAAAAATATTGGTTTTAGCTTCAGCTATTTGCTTTATATCTCTTAAATCGATGTGGGACAACGCATCAGCAATGTAATTTTCCTTTCCTTTGATATATTCTATTGTGAAATCATATTCCTCTAGGCCTAATCTCATTCTGGTTAATTTCGATGACGGGTTTTTCATCGTAAACAAATACGTGAGTGGTCTGTGATCACTTTTAACTAAAAATTGTATTCCATAAATATACGGGCTAAAATGCGTGATTGTCCAGTGTATAGCTGCGAGCTCTTGTTCTATCGTACTTTTATTACTCTCACCTTTTGTGAAAGCTCTTGACGCAAAAGCTATTGGTAATTGGTCGACTCCGTACGTTTGACTTAAAACAGCCCCACAGGCTAACTTACTGGCGTCGGTCGTTAATACGAACGCTTTTTCAAAATCGGCATACTTCAAGAGCGGTGGATCTATCAGTGAAGATTTCAAATATGTAGTTGAAGGCCTTTTCGCAGTCGTTTGACCATGTAAATTATACACCTTTCCAAAAAGATACACCTTGCCTAGCTTAGTTAGGTGCCGCGCATACTCTGCAAAGCTGCGAATAAAGCGCCTATAGTAATTAACAGAGGATACAAAGCGTTTCGCCTCTTCACTATTTTTGGGTTTCGGGTAGTTTTTAATATCAAACTTGCTGTCGTCGGGCAAAATTTCTTTATCTGTACATTTGTGACCCAGATACGTTACCTCGTGAATAAAAGCGTGCACTGTTCCGGATATAGTTTCAAGTTGTATTTTCTGCATATTTCAAAAACATTTTATAAATTATTCAGCATGTGCTTTTCTGAACAACCTAGAACCACTTGTGCAGGTGTTAAGCCCGCGAAAGTTAACGTCATCATGCGCTGAAATTAATTTGGAGCGCCTTTAATCCCAAACGGAAGCCGCTTAAACCGGAGTGAGCCTTTTTCGGTGGAAAATGACCCTACTCTATCTCTACTATTTTCATCAAGCTAAATTTGATGAAACCCTGTCATTAGATCCAAGCAAGAAAAATACTTGGCTCTGCCTAGTTGATCTAAAATATCATCTATGCGTGGCAACGGAAATTTATCTGCAAGAAGTTTCTTATTTATCTGCCTATAGTCCACTACTAAACGCCATCGTTTCTCTGGTTTTCCAGGTAATGTCTTTTTAGGAACTAGCAGAATTGGGCTATTGTACTGATATGGATGGTTCTACTATATCATCTTCTTACAACTTATCGATTTGTTTTTGCACATCCGATTTCTGAGAGTAAGGTATTCTGTAGTTTTTGATGTAAACCGGTGTAGTGTCTTTAAGCCTCAGCTTTTGTCGATAAAAATTATTCCCACTTATTTCTTCATTCTCTAGTCCGAAAACGCCAGTAAACTGAGTACATAAGTTAATTAGTTTTTGCTTTACAAACGCTGAGATAGTTTATCCATTACATTCGCATCTCTACTTGTACTTACTTGTTTTTCTATGTAGATATGGAACTTTTCTATAAAAACATTCTCGTTATTTGTGTTTATAATATGGACTATTGGATACGATCTTGAAACTATTGTACTAGCTACGTATATTCCGCTTCGAAGTTGTTGGAGCGGTATGAATGCATCCTATTCATCAAAATCAACTTTAATGTGTCTTACTACCTCGGATCGTGCTGGGAGTGATAACGAATTGGGAGACGGTGCGCTGTGCATTGGGATTGCGATATCCTCTGGAAAATTTTGTGGTCGTAAAACTAACCAATCCTGCTGACGCCCGTATTCCAATTTGCAGATAAATTTTTTCAAAAAGTCTAGTCCCACAATTCCATTGCTTGGAATAGGGAAACTATCTTCTACAACATGTAAGTCGTTATTAATTAATATATTTTCAACTTTTAAATCAGTATTAACATATCCAATAGTGGTTAAGGATTCTTGACCTATACCAGTTAAGGTAGTTCTAATGTTCGTATTTATTTGTAGGTTTTTGTTAATGCAGTTGTGCTTTATGGGCGAGATATCCGCCCCAGTGTCAACTAAAAAGGTTGTTTTCCGGGTACCAAAAGTTGTGAAAATCGAAATATAACTGCTGAGATGTAGATTTAAGTGGAAAATATGATTAGAGTATGTTTTTAGTTTTGAATATTCGAGGTACTGTCCGTGTTTTCCGAATGCTCTACTTCGTTTACGTAGCGTACATGTCTTGGTGCGGAACTACTGTTTCGATTTCGAGTCCTCCTCTGTAGTAACTACGGCCACTCGTAAACCCACGTCTACGATTGCCATTGCAGTTGCTGTTAATAAACTGAGCATTTAATTTACTTCCGCTAAGAAATAAAACTGAACCGTCATTTGTTTCGTTGCAACTGTTCACAAACTTTGTAACAGCCTCGTTCATTTTAGTAAATTGACCAGATTTCAAAATTAACTTTACTTCATTATTGCTCGCGTTCTTAGACATTGCTTGGACTGCCACTTTAGTGGAATATTTTTCTGCCAACTGAGGAGGCAATCCATCTGCTATGTACGCAGATCCCAAACATTTTGTTAGGTCTTCAATTTCTTTCGTGAAAGCATTCGCGGATTTGTTATTTTGTTTGATGTTTAAAACCCCTGCTGATAGTACTTCAACAGATACACCTCTAACGGAGCTCTCTAGTTTCGCAATTATTGCTAAAATTGTATCTTCCGTAGAAATCAAATTTCGAGCTGTGCCCTTAAGTTTTGTTTTTACTAGTTGCACTGCGACTGTATCATGCGTTTCTTTTATTGAATCTACTAACCTTAGCGCATCTAAGAAGCCTCGCAAATGTTCCTGCCTACCATCGAATTCGGGTATCAGCCTCGATGCCGTATTTAGAATTTCAATCACGGTTTGTGACATTTTGCTGGTACGTTGCGTTTCTCCCACACACTATCTTCTTCGGAATCACTTGATTCCTCTACTATTGTATATAAAATGGGCGTACCAAGTTCAAATGGTATTTTTATGTTAATATTTTGTTTCGCAAATGTTTTAAGTATTTTGTCTCGTACCTCTGAATAGATTTGTTCTGCTTGCCTCTTTTGGCTTTCAAGACTGTGATCATTATTTGCGTTTAAAATTCCGCGAATTTAGTTGGCGTTTTCTATTATTATTTGAACATGCTTTTGCACGGTTTCACTTTTTATGTGTATCTTTTTATTTAAACATTTGCGAGATTTCTCGAAAATTTTCCTAAGTTGGTTAATTTTTTCCTCTCCATCAACTCACTAACAAAAGAACTTCGAAAATTGTGCACACCTACAAACAGTTTAAGCGAGTGCCGCTAGGTCGAAAAGTTTAAGCTCTGTCTTTCGTGTATACATATACCACTTGGTGAGAAAATTGTAAACCAGAAGAAATAAACTTAATAATTAGCCCTTAAACTAAAATAAATGCTTAACGGTAATGAAAAGAACTTACAATGAAATAGGTACAGCAATTACGTATACATAATATGTATATATTATATACATATGTAAGAACTGCTTCAGTTGAAATCTGGCAGGTATTAAGTAACAAAAAAACTAATTTAAATATGAATAACTCGAAAACTTCGAAACTTTTATAGAACCTTATTTTATTTCTATTTAGATGAAAGATTTACAAATATTATTAGAATTAACTTCCACGCCAAAATACCCGTACTTTAGAGATGAGCCCGCCATTCATACTTGGACATCCCTTTCGTTGATCGATTGAGCCTATTTTCGCCACATTCTGCGGAACTGCGATATTCTTGGAGGTGTGCATTATGTTTCTTTTTTTAATTTTGATTTCATATAGGCCCAATAACGCGCGATCGTTTAGAGCTCTGGGCAATTCGGAGGATTGGACTCTTTTAGTAAAATCTTGATTCCATTTTGTGCATAAAACTCTTGCGTTTTTTTGCGCAATGGCTTGTTGCCAAATCAGGCCAAAACAATACAGGCTCTCAGAACAACACTCCAGGTGCGACAACACGTTCAGAGAGATTCGGATTCCTCTCCAAAGTCCTTGGAACAGCCTTCTCCACTATCTTATTTATAGTGCCTGATTTCCGCCAGATTCCGCCTTTCTCTCAATGCTGCAATTTTTCTTGATATTTGACAATACATTTTGTACCGTCGACCTTCCAGTTTCCAGCAATTTTACTAACCGACATTGAGAGATGTGTGGATTTTTCATGAATTAGTCCAAAATCAGTTTTCTTTGCTGAAGGTATTTGCTCTCCACATCAGTTATTTTTAAAGCATATGAAAATTAACTGTAATAAAAAACAACGATAGCAAAATCAGCACACTAAATAAACGGCTGATCGTATGTATGTATGTACATTGTGCGTTTTCAAACGATTAATAAGAAATAAAAAAAATAAAATCATCACCGCTTCCAATCCATCACGTGGCCTGCCGCCTAATCTATTTGCTTTGCTTATTTGCACATTTTTTTCTGCTTCACTTGCAAATCCTCTGGCAACTCGATTTTGCTGTGCAAATATGCGCTGATACAGGTAGAAGTTTAAAGTTTTGCATAGTGTTACTGTAACTGATGTTGCGCCAAAAATTTACGATTTTGTGCTCCGCTTGTTCTTTCTAGTTGCTTCTGCTCCAGGCATTATCATTAAAGAACCGCTACGCCAAGAAAAAATCGTAGTGCTGTTCAGGTACGAGCGCTGATTACAAAGAATGTTCCAGAGCTCAATAGTTGGCCACCAATATATCACACATGGAAAGTTTACGCTCTTGCCATTATTTTTAATGTAATTGACTCCCAACAAATCCACCATTAACCGTAAAGTGGATGGCCATTTCACTTTTAATATTTAGAAAAATATTTAATTTAAAAATTCTTGATTTTCAACACCTGGAAGCTCCTGGAAGGATCGCCATGTATTAAATGGCTCCGTACGTTCTTGTTGAGAGTCGCCTTTATTCTGACATTGCTTCTTATCAGCTGTAGATAAAAGCTTAACTTATCTAATTAGTAGTAACGAAGATGACTCTATTACAATTAAACACTACAAGACGATACTGCACTCGCTCGCGATCTCGAAGGTGCACATTGTATCCGGCGCAATTCAACAATGTTGAATTACTGTGCAACTTCGTCTCTTGGACCGCAGCTATCAATATTCCATGCCTTCCCATAAAGGAGATAACCTCGATCTTGCTCTGAAGTCCGTTACAGTTGAATTGAAGGAGCTTCGTGTGGATCGGGAGACGTGTTGTTATGCGGGGGGTTCCGCCCTGTGGTGGTAGTGGGTGGCGTCGCAGTTGGGGTATGCGACCATGCAGCACAACATGGGCCCTCGAAGTACCTCGTCTAATCTCGCGCGGTGCGCAGACCTGAACATGCCCTAAAGTGGCAGCAGCTAAGACAGGTATTGCATTTGACTGATGTCACGTTACAGAATATCCTGGTCTGACACACCGTGCAGATTGTAGGAGGAACCAGGAGTTGTTGGCGACGGCGTGTGGGTGGTGGTGCGGTTGAGTGGTCTTTCGTGGTTGTGGTGTGATCTATTGTGTTGTTGTGTTGTAATGATGTGGTGTTTGTGTTGAGCTGCTCAGCTGGACTGGGGTTTGCCGTGGAGGCTGCTCTGTTTGAGCAGCAGGGGGCCCACGAATGATGTGGTCCACTGCCGATGTGTCCGTAGGCCTGAGCAAACTTTGAGGTGACTCCACCCATCACAAGCATTGCACTTGACTGAGGTGGAGTTGTGGTATAGTTGTCTCTGGTATACACAGCAGGTGTAAGTTTCTGGCCCTGGGTTTGACTCGATGCCAGCCGTGAGCAGAAGAACATGTAGCAAATGTAGCCGTATGGCCTAGAGGTTTACGCCACCGAGCCGCGACGCCGCCGCCGCCGCCGTTTTTTGTCATTCGTCACACGCCGCCGACGAGTTACGAAAATATCGGCGCCTAAGGAGCTTTGTACAAAATTTTCATGATGATGCACATTGAAATTCATCGTTTGAAGGAAGTACTACTCGTATAAATAACGCTATTTTACGAAATGAAAATTTTATTTGGAAAGGAGTTTTTTTTACCTAATTTGCGCCACTGAATAGGAATATGATCTTTATTTTTCCAAAAAAGCGTAACTCAGAAAAAAACATAGGAAACACGTTTTTTGATGGAAAGCGTTTATTACAGTTAAATTAGGATCGAACCAAGGCATATAATCAGGAAGTAGAATTAGAGAAAGAAAAACATTTGCGTGTATTTCGTTGTTGCTTCTAGTACAGAAAATGTTAAAAACTGTTCTGATTTTTTTTTTCTAAATCAAAGCGTGTCGCGTGAAATACAAACAAAAATAGAATTAAAAAAATTAATTTGAAAAAAAAAATTGTTACAGCTTTCTTTCTTAGTAAATTTGTTTGCTTCCCGAAGCATTCATCCAGCCTTTGAGAGGCCCAGTTATAAGCGTTTGCGCTACTGAATTCGGCGAACGTTCAAAAAGCTGCTATTCAATCGCTTGTTTCGCATGAAAAAAGGTTTCACATGCAAACAGATTATAACAATTTAGAATTTTTGGGAGAAAAAATTTAAATAAGTGAAGTTTTCGAGACCAAATAATTAAAAAAAAAAATAAATGAAATCAGCTGCTCTACTGATACTGCCTGTTCAATGTGCCTTGGGTCGAACACTGGTAATCCACAACAATACTACATTTTTATATACTGCAACAAGTGCCCTTATTGCATATAACTCCTTAATTATTGGAGGAAAACCGAAAAACAAGTTGATTTTCTTGTGTATTTTTTTTTCTTTAATAAAGAGTTGAATATTTTTTGTGCAGACTTTTAATAAAAGGCTAATTTTAACATTCCTAAGGTACTAGGTGGATATGTGAAAATTACACTAGCATTCATAATTAGTGGTCAAACACCAGGAAGGTTTTTCTCCATCACATCGCAGTGTTTTCTACACAGGGTTAAAGTTCCCTCTTTTTCGTGAAAATTAGTATTGTTTTTCATTACATTCGGTTATCCTTAGAAAAATTTGACGCTTAAAATTTTAGTGGAAATTTTAACCATCTATAAGCTATTTTTTAAACAGTGGTGAAGAAGACCCGCCCTGGTGGGAGTTGATGGGTAAAACTGTTGGAAAAAAGTAGACCACACTTGTTTTCAATCTACAACCCGCAAAAAATCGTAAGAACTCCATAATTTAACATAACGGTAGATAAGATTATTACAAAAATTTATTATTAGCGACATAAATTATTATTATTTTTCATTACGTTCGGTTATCCTTAGAAAAATTTGATGGTTAAAATTTCCATTTTTTAAACAGTGGGTGAAGAAGGCCCGCCCTGGTGGGAGTTGATGGGTAAAACTGTTGGAAAAAAGTAGACCACCCTTGTTTTCAATCTACAACCCGCAAAAAATCATAGGAATTCCATAACTTAACATAACGGTAGAAATGATTATTACAAAAATTTATTATTAGCGACATAAATTACTCCCATAACTTTTTCATTTCCTTAAATTTATGGGTCGATTACGGATGGCAACGCGACCACGGTTCGGTTGCCAGCTGACAACGCAACTGGAAAGAAAATTTTTACTACGAATTCAACTATCGTCAGTTGCTGTAGTTATCGACAATCGAAATTTGACAGTTCGACAACCAGCAAGCGGCTGTAAATAAGCTGTGCGAGTAAAATTAAATTATTCAAATAAAGAGTTTTAAAGAAAAGACAGCAATAAAGCTAAGTTCATCACATTTATTTGTTTAAGAGGAAGAGAGTGCATGAACGCGGCCTCAATCAGGCGACATTTAAAGGATGATTCCAATCCTCTAGAGCTACCGCGTGCACTGTAAGCAAATGTTAATGCTTTTAAGGTTTTTCTTTTATTATCGTTTTGTGTTCATTTTTAAAGCATATTGAGGACTTCAAAAAGAAGCTGTAGTATAATTGGTTAATAAGCGGATGAACCACTTCGTTCAACTTCAATACTTCCTCTCATAAAAGCTTGTGCTCCTCTTCGATTTTTCGCAGAAGGAAGTGCCACAGCAATGACTTCAATTTGGAAAACTTGGTGTGTCGGTAGTTTTAAAAGAGGTGCTTCAGTTGATAAAGGAAACAATTTTCAATCAATGTTCGCCTTTGTTTCGCCAAAAGGGCGTACTCCATGGAAACTAAAATTTTAAAGTATTGTTTTGATATTTTCACCATATTCTGTAGAAGCAAACTGCATTGCAAAACGTTAATATCGTTCAAATTATTAAAAAGTAAAATATATGACAAACTTTTCAATTTTCGCTCCTAAATACGCTCCAAAAACCTTCCCAGCAACTACAAAAATGTTGCCTGTATACACACTTTGTAGCAACTGCAGTTGTCAGTTGAAAGTTGCCAGCTGCCAGTTGCCATCTGTAATATCGTTTTGGCAACTAGCAACGCACCTGAAGTTCGCTTGCTATCGATAATCGACCCATTAAATACCCTACAAAAACTGGCTGACCATATCGAAAAGAAACTATCGGTTGTACGCTCGCATACATATGTACATACATACATACATCAAAGAAAATTTTACTTTATTGATAGCTGTGGTTCAAAATATAGAAGAAGTCGTTGAATTCAAAGAAACAATTAATAAAAATCAGTGTATTCAATTCGTATCAGCTCATCCTTAAGCTCCAATAACAGCAGGCCGGGGAAACGGGCAGTGTTCCAATAGGGTCGGATTGAGGGGAGATGTGTGTTGAGTGGGATTGAGCTGGCATGGGAAGAGATGGTTGGTGTCGCGCGGGGAGTCTCCACATGCCGGACACTCATTGGGGATATTGGGATCGAGTCTGGACAGGTAGCTGTTGAGGCGGCTACAGTATCCAGACCGCCAGGGTATCGCTTCTTCCGCGATGCCTTCGGATGGTATGGAGCATGAAGCCGCGACAGTGACTACCCTGCGGAACTGGCGTTCGCCACCGTGTGAGAAGGGCGACAAAGCTGCTTTCGGTATCTTCCGCGAAGCCGTTCCAATCATATTTGTTAAAGTAAATATATGTTCCGCGGGAGCAAAGACGGTGGGCTTATTGATCGAGATAATTATGGGCAGATGGTCTGATGCAATGATGTTATGCTATTTATCAGACAAGCTCTAGCAATTGTTAGGTCTAGCGAGCTACAAAAAAACAAAACCAAAATGCTTTTCATTCATTTTCTTTTCACCAAAAACCATATTTTTTTATTCTTATTTTAATTTGGGCGGCCAATTAACAATAAATCCGAAGTGGCGTATTAAATATGATA